ACTTCTGGACATACTAGTGTAAGTTCAATTTATATGTGGACGTTTGGAGGGCTCTTCAGTTCTTTTTCTTTGAGTGGGATACCAAGTCGTCCAACGATCCGATGAACCCTGGTGTCAGATTAATAAAACATAAATAGCGAACAAATAAGTTGTACAGTCTACACGAAGGGAAGAATAAATTCAGAACAGGGAATCAGCAGTATATATTTACCACTTGAGTGTTTTTATCGTTGAATTATTTCGGATTACGATTAAACAGGCCAATTTCTTCAGACTCTCATTTTAACGAATTCAATGCCATTGTAAAAAGTAACTACTTAACTTAGTAAGGTTTTATTGACCCTTGATCCCGTCTCGTTACGCTACACACCAATACAGCTGGAGAGCCAGATTTACTGTCACAAAAGTCCGCTCGTGTCTAAACTCAAATACATTTTCTACGGCCAGTGGAGTGGGTTAGTGTGTGCAAGTGAAGCCGGGTCAAACGGTTAGCAAACAACGCACAGATTCGTCTCAGTTCGTTCTTGGAGCTGGCAACACCGTGAAATGGCTTCGAATGGCCGGTCCTTGGAGTGAATACCTCGCTTGTATAGGGTGCATTTCGTTCCGCCCAAACTGTCAACATGCCACGTTTTATAGCCTCTAAAATACTGTTAGGTAAGGCGGAATGTACTGACGTCAACAAATCCTCCTACCCATTTAAGGGACCAACTTTTACTAGTATTTCATTAAAATACTAAGAAATTCTAGTGTAAGTTGATCCCTTAAATGTGTAGGTAGTTATAGTACGTGCACGAGACGGATCGTATCCGCAGTTGTAAACAAACCGACCACAATTTCTTGTCGTTTTGTTTCAAGAAATCTCCCACTTTGGTCAAGTCATTAGATTAAGCAATCGCACGCAGCGGTCCCCGGCCTTTTTACTAGTTTCAATTACGGCGACAAAAACTCAGAACAATGTAAAATTATGAGAACAACGAACCGTAAAGCGAGATTGTTGCTATCGTTTAACAAAACAACTCGGAAGCATCTTCAGATCAAACCGAAAAATAATCGCCCGTCAATCAGCCGTCCGAATCTGTACAAAAAACTCTTTGTGGGATCTGTGCCGCCCGTAATTGGTGGGGATGAAAAAACAAAAGTTAGAAATTTTCTAACGAGACGAAACCTCCAAATCATGCTGTTTAGTGCGAAATTATAGCGTTTTGAACGAGGCGTTTAGGTGATTTGTACGTCTCTAATGGGGGATATTACGTAATGGCGCGCCTCGGGACGGAAAAGTGCGCCGCAATCTATTAGCCGAACAAAAAGTGAGCTTAACACTTTGCCAGCCCAAGCTATATTCTAATGCCACACTGCGACAGCGGATCACGAGCTCCACTCGTGATACTGTTATGCCTAAGTACGCCGCGTGTTTTTTAAAACGACTTCTATGGTTCGCCGGCGTTTTTCGGCGATTTTGCAAGATTTTTAAAAAAATAATGAGATTATCTATAGGAGTAAATCTTTTTGTATTTGGAAAATTATTTCATATTTTATAAGGATAAAAATAAAAGAATGTGTTTACTTATTAATTTTGATCACAAAATAATGGTATCCGAACTAGGTATTTTGAAAAAAAGAAAAACTCTCACATATCTTTATTGTTGATTTTACATAGTTAATCTTTCTGTGTGCGAAATTTTTTGAAACCGAGATAATTACATAAGGGTACTGCACAATTTAGGACAAAAAAAAATTTTTTAAGATTTTTTTTTAAGTTATCGCCCACGTCGCTAGCCGGCGGCGCACTAGCAAGGCAGCGCGGGCGATGCATCGTGACGCCACCCCCGATCACTTACACTAATGAATTATATGTGTGCGTGTAGCTAAATCATTACTCTATACGATGATGTCAAGCGGATCACGAATTGTGTTCGATATTTTAATAAAAACAGTATGAAATCTGATCACGAGTACTACTCGTCATCCGCGTCTCTAAGAAAAAAAGTGTGACGAGTGGTACTCGTGATCGGCGAGTTACGCGTGTGAGTTATATAAATGGCCGGCGAAATGGCGGCAAAACTGCATACCGAGTGGTCCTCGTGATCAGCGTGCAAAGTGTTAATTTCACACCTGTTTACCTTTAATTCTATAATGATGAGGGAGCAATGGGCTTTTTGCACGAGCTTCTGCGAGCGCGATCGCTTGTTTATCTGAAATTCGGGAAGCAAAATCATAAGTCAATAGTGGAACAAAATAGAAAGTTTACAGACGGTTCACTCAACCTTTTTTAGGATTTTCGCGATCGTCTATTGTTATATTCATATTGTCAGTCTCTTGTTATATACGTCATTATGATTCTGAGCCAATTTAATTCAAGAAATATGACATTCGTGTCAACCATCTTCTTAGTAACCTTGAGTTTCCCTGAGATTCTGGATATTTCCAGTTAAAGTAGGCATCAAAATCGTCGCTAGTTTTGAGTGAGCCATCTGTAAAGGCGCCCCTCGCGCCATTTATGATATTGGTTTGTCAGATCTAGTTATAACCAGAAATATTAATTTCATTTAGGTCACTCATTGACGTCATTAGACAAAAACAGATCAGGTAGCTACAAGCTACTAATAGCATCAACAAAATTGATAAGTTAAATTAACAGTAAACGTAACTGAAGTAAGATGGCCGAATTCTCATTTCATGCTCGGTAATCAGTGTATGAGGAAACCGTTCGCCAAATAAATTGGTAATATATTGGACAAACAACTTTTTATAACTGTTTATTCTAGTGACCAACATCCGGGTTGGAAGTGTGTAAAATTATAAGGAAAATGAGGAAAACTAGACAAAACTATTTCCATTCAATTCAAAATGAAGTGGCAGTGCCAGCTTAGAAAAGCCTTAGAACAAAATTATAAGTACCTACATAGTATAAACTATCAAATGTAGATCTTATGGTAAATGCCCTCAACAGAGGAGATCTTCTGAAGTAGATAATAATGAACACGAAATGCAATAAAGGTTTCACATTTAGCATTCTAGATTGGTGTCCTGAATTCTGAATTTGCAATAAGCGATAGCGGAGTCCAAAACGCACAGTCAAAGCCCGTCACTGCCTCATTTTCATGATTTCCAAGAATCATCATACCTATCATCTCCCTGCCCTTACCTATCCCACATCAATTGCGGTTGGCGCAACATGTTTTGTTAGAGCATAAAATCATGTAGCAAAACGATTTGGCAATGTTTTATGACCACCGCCTGCCTAAAGTCAACCCTCTTTGGGAATGCTATTGTAGGCCACCGCCACCATGCGGTTGACCATAGTCGACAGACATTTAGCCGAGGTCAAAAACTTTACATCGCCTTTTACGAAACACCTTAGTGGACTACGGGTGGCAGTATTATTAGCCACTACCACACGGCCAAGAATACCGAACAAAATAGTTTGCAGAGATGGTTTTTTTTTTGCTTAGGTATGGGGAAATCATAATGGATACCATAAGGCCCGGGCGTTTATGGCATGCCCGACTCCGCTAGGTTACCTAGGTTAAAGTTAGTATTTTTTTAGTTTTTATCTATGTTAGTTTATTCTATTTAAACATGGTGGATCAGTTTGTTTTTGCCGCCTTTAGAATGCAGAGATGGTGCTGACGTCATCACGTGGGTGCTGAGTGCTGGGTGCTAGGTGCCGACACGTCGGCGTCACGCTCCACAAACAGCGAGGTTAGCGCAGCAGCCTTGGCGTCGCCCCACATTGCGCACCGGCACAGAACCGCTTTTTATCCACCTCCGACGGTCAACTAGAACAAAGAACGAGATCTTCCGGCACCTACAGCTTCAATGCTGTTGATGACCACTCATTTTGCAGTAAGAAGATTCATCAACTAAGAAATATGAATAGCGATTCCAGAGTCTGGAAAGCAAAACCGTGTGTTGGATATTTGTGAATTTCGGTGCGGCAGCAGCAAACTGACTTTTCAGTTAGGTACTGGCTAACGGTGCTGATGATCACTCACTCAGAAACATTAACAACTTTGTTGACAACATAATACAATACAGTCTAAGTGTGTGGCGACTAAAACAGAGCTAATAAATACGCACCCTCGCTAAACATTTCAACACGTTTTGTTTCCCAAATTGAAATATCAAAAAAAGCGTTTACGCCAAATCTCTTTTATTTCAAAGGACGTCCCGGTGTCCAGACGAGGGCATGGCTAATCTGGCTCGGGTCCGAAGACAATGTGTCAGCGGGAAAGGTCGTAAAACTGTAGGCCGCAGTTGGGACTTGGCGAGCCCTGACTATAATGTCCAAAATATTTACAGCGCGTGACAAAATGCGCTGCTTTGTCTCGCGGATGGCTCGTGATTCGTCGCGCCGTGTCTTGCAGGCTCAGCCATTTGAGATGTGCCTTCAGGTGGTGCCCACACTTGACGTATAATTCTGTCCTATTTTTAGCGCATGCGTCTGTCTGTCAGATGTAAAGAAATATCGAACTCCCCATACCTTTACCTTTACAGCCACAACAGTTCACTGCTGGACATGGGCCTCCCCCGTATTGGGAGGTATTGCCATACTCACCACGCTTTACAGGCGGATTGGCGAGCGCAGTGCAAGATGTTTAGTTCACAAAGAACGATCCCTTAGTTTCTTTTTACGACACCCATGGGTAGAATTGGGGTGATGCTATTCTAAGCCGGCATCACATATCATACCTACATATAAGTTTCATATTATGTTACACTTATTAATGATAGTAGATGTAATAATATACTTATAGGTCGTTGAACAACTCGGTGTCCCACACGAAAAAGAAAGATCTCTTTCGCATCAACGGATGTCAGGTGTGGATTCGCTTCAGAAGGTGATGTGTCGAGTCTCCGACTACATGAGGAATTTCGCCACGCACCAACGTGACCAACCTTTCAAGTCGCATAATCACGCACGCACGCACAAGGTCCTTAAAAACCTGAAAACATAATAAATAAAAGAGGTAAAGAAATTCGTCAGGTTCCGCCAGGCGCCCGTGGCTCAGTTGGCAGAGCAGTGGGACGGTACCCCACGGTCTCAGGTTCAAGTCCCGGCGGTCGCTTATGAATTTTTCAATGTTCTTTTCTTTAATTTGTGACCATAAATAGAAGGCCAATATCTTTACACTAATTCTATACTTAATGATCTATAAACTCCATTAGTGTCAAAATTAACTCAAATGGAGCCATTAACAACACAATCCGTTACTAAACATATGTTACGAATCCACGAACAACCTTTAGCGATTCATAAACAGGAATTCTAATGTGTGTAAATTTTGCTGGTTTCGTGGGTAACGTAATTGATTTATAGCTAATGAATTTAGAGATGGGCCGAATATTCGGCATGTTTGGCAGATTTACCGAATACCTATTGAGTTTCGGCCAAATGTTTGGTGAATTTGCCGAATATTTAGACAAATGAAATGGTATCGATTTTAGATAAATTAAGTTGTAAATTTTCATGTCACGTCAAGGAATGAAGCAGTTTTTTAAAATATTTGTCAATGTTTCTAATGTGAAAGCGAGTGTAGCGAGTGGAGTGGTCCGTTGGAAATCAGCGAGTATTTTGTAATAAAGTAAGGCTTCTAATTTTTTTTATATGGACATCGATTTCTGTCGAATTATTGGAGTACGATCGGTAAGCAAACTTGCTCGTTTCGCAAACTGAATACTCGGTTCGGCAATCTTTTTACCAAATATTCGGCCGAATATTCCTATTCGGTGAAACCTATGTTCGGCCCATCTCTATCTATGATTTACGGCACCGGTCGGCAAAGTTGCAGATGCCAGCTGGATTCCTGTTTCTGGTTTTGTGGCACGAGATATAAAGAAGATTCTTTTAATCGCTTCATTTAGCTATTTTTTGTTCGACTGGCATAGACATTGTTAGCTAGAAATATTGGCCGCACGTGCATGTATCGTAAAACGTATGTGCTTTGGCATTGAAAAAACAAGTTATACTTTACTATTGCAGCATATTTTTCAGCTTGGTGATTTTTGCCATAGGTATTTCAAATTAAGATAATAAAACGAAACGGTGGCGCGTGCCGACGACGACGCACAAAACGAAAGCGTAAAGTTATCCCTGGCATTTAGATAGGTTATTGCCAGCACATTCACCTACCCATTTAAGAGACCAACTTACACTAGTTTCTCATGCAAATACTAAGAAAAACCAGTTTAAGATGATCCCTTAAATGACTTGGTTGAAATACTATTCCTTCGATTCCTTGTCACCAATAAACCCTTGGAAGATGACCAATGAGTGTGAAAGTTCACACACCAATCTGAGGTTTTAACACCAGGCCTGGTCCTCATTAGAAGCCTCACAATGCCGTGTTCAAATATGTCGCTAATCATTTTAATGGACACTCGAATTAGAAGAAAAATTTATTAGTCATCTGACAAGCGTTTGTAAATATTTATGAGCCAACTGCAACTGTCTAGGATAAGTTTGAAGCGTTTAGCTCTGGTAAACGTGTACAGTTACATAATACTATATTTTATGCAAATGGTCCTGAAAAAGTCAGGTTACGTAGCACATGGTACCTATATTGAGTTTATATACCTAAACTTCTGTTTTGACGTCGGTTAGAGTGCCGTCATCCGAATAGGCCATATTTGACGTCTGTCAAACCCATACTAGGAAACATGTCAACAAAGAAAAATAGACCTTATGTCATAGCATTAATATGATTTTGACAGACGTCAAATATGGCCTATTCGGATGACGGCACCATAGAAACTAGGTAGCACTTCATATTTGAGTACACTGTCTTGACGTCGGATTCTCAATTAGGTATGTAAGTAAATAATATTGATTTTGTGTTGTTTCTATATGACAACGAAGGTTTTCCGCGTGAGCTGTCATATTTCGTACGAATTGACAGTTCCATCTCTGAAATGTTTCAATTCCACCCACACCAAAACAGATAACCAAAACTTGAATTCATAATACGATTTTGTACGAAGGTAGATTAAAAAAACATCGGCGAAAAGTGAAACCGCACAATTCTATGCGAGAGATAACGAATTAACCGTGTGCTAGAGTTCATTGGCCTATTGTAGCATGTTCGTACACAGGCACACAATGTCGGAACAAATAAAACGGATGCCATTGTTCATGTTGTACTACAATATAATGATCAACAAACAACAGCTATGGAGGCGTATTTTTGAAACAAATTCGCATGCTACAGTCCGCAACCATCGGTCTAACCACTCGTATCTATCACACGTTCCACTGAGCCAGAGGGGTAGTGGAATAGAAACTACGGGAGCGAGCCCATTTACCTACCTATTAGTTTAGGTTGTAGAACGTGTAGTACCTACCTACTAGCGTGGTTAGAGCATTTAGAACTCAGTTGTTACATGCGAAATCATTTCTAAAGGTGCAATTCCAATATACAAGTAGCTAGGACGCATCCAGGATATGAAATCCGATGTCACAGCTAATCGAAACACATTCTTCTACTTAAATTTATTCTACTGATTCAAAAATCGGTCTCTTTAGCTCGATTCATTCATAATATTTTACGATTTTGTCGTCCATGCACTTTGTGAGATAATCACCACTTGATTAATCAATTGAGCTATTAGCTTATTTTATCGCCCTCAAGGGTTAATTAGTAATGGCCGTCTTAGCAGTAGGTAGGTATATATTATCTGTTATTAAAAGTAATTATTAGCGTCTACCTATTTAAGTCTCTTTCAAATAAAAATTTGAAGACGTACTCAAAGACTGTTCTTTTTACAGTCGTTTACGGTTTGCCTACCCCGCAAGGGATATAGACGTGATATATGTATGTATCATCTAGCGATAGCTTATCCACTTGCTAAACAGTTTTTTTACTGCGTTTCTCAACAATTTCATCTACGACATCTATTAGCACATCCGTGACCAAAAACTTTTATTAGACGTCAGTTCTGGGAAACAAAAAAAACTCACATGTTCCATGTCGTAGTAGGTACGTTAGTAAAAAAAGACCTCCATCTCGAATGTCATTTGCACGGCGTGCCGTTGAAAAAGTAATTATTTCAATAGCCTCAATTCCATGCTGCCTCTTAAATTTCTAATTATAAAATGCTATACTTTCAGTAGGTTGAGAAACGTAAAGGTGTTTATTTTTCTAGGATGTCAGCACCATTCTCGCACTTTTCGGCCTATGTTTGTCCACCATCTTTTAGGCCGCTGACGTTGCGTTAACTTAACTCTTAAGAGGATCTTGGCCTCCGAAACGCGTACAATTTTAGTTACGGTTTTCTCCTAGTTTTTCAAAGGTTAGGGAAGAAAAATGTAGTGCTATTTTTAGTTATCTACATTAGATGGCATTTCGGAATCGAGTCTGGTCGAGTGGCAGCGGTTGAGTGGTAAAAACTCGTAGCACGCGCCTGACCACTGCTGACGCAAGAAACTTGGGAGACGCCGTCTAGGACGTCGCAGTTGGGTGACGGATTTGGAGCAAGCATTTTAAATTAGCTGTTTTAGGTGGTAACGTGGAATATAATCTAACTGAGGTATGGGGCTAGCACCCGGCGATAGAGTGATAAAAACTAGTAGCACGCGCCTGACCACTGCTGACGCAAGAAACCTGGGAGACGCCGTGAAGGACGTCGCAGTCAGCTGACAGATTTGGAGCAAGCATTTTAAGTAGGTATTTTATGGTAATGTAGAATTGAGACTTTAGTGAAGTGCGGCCTAGTCCGGCGATAGAGTGACAAAAACTCGTAGCACGCGCCTGACCACTGCTGACGCAAGAAACCTGGGAGAAGCCGTGAAGGACGTTGCAGTCGGCTGGCGGATTCAAAGCAAGCATTTTAAATTAGCTGTTTTAGGTGGTAACGTGGAATAGAATCTAACTGAGTTATGGGGCTAGCACCCGGCGGTTCGGTGCTAAAAACTCGTAGCACGCGCCTGACCACTGCTGACGCAAGAAACCTGGGAGACGCCGAGAAGGACGTTGCAGTTGGCTGATGGATTCGAAGCAAGCATCGTAGGTTAGCTGCTTTAGGCGGTAACCTGGAATAGAGTCTAACCGACGGCCGTTGCAGTCGGCTGGCGGATTCGGAGCAAGCATTTTAAATTAGCTGTTTTAGGTGGTAACGTGGAATAGAATCTAACTGAGTTATAGCACCCGGCGATAGAGTGGCAAAAACTCGTAGCACGCGCCTGACCACTGCTGACGCAAGAAACCTGGGAGACGCCGTGAAGTACGTCGCGTGGACGTCGCAGTCAGCTCACAGATTCGGAGCAAGCATTTTAAGATTTTTAAGGTAATGTAGAATTGAGTCTTTAGTGAAGTGCGGCCTAGCACCCGGCGATAGAGTGATAAAAACTCGTAGCACGCGCCTGACCACTGCTGACGCAAGAAACCTGCGAGACGCCGTGAAGGACGTCGCAGTTGGGTGACGGATTTGGAGCAGTTTTTGAAGGATTTCTTGCCGAGATTTTTGGTAAACGGTGGTAAAAAAAACAAATAATATTAGCTAGTTTTAGTAGCTACTTTTACTATTCTTCGTATGGAGCATCTTGTCCACAAACAATCCAAAGAAGAAGTGACAACAATATATATTACGTCTTAAGAGGCCTGCTACTTGCAGTAGGCGGTAGAAAAACTCTGACACCAGGGCTCATCGGGTCGTTGAACGACTCGGTGTCCCACACGAAAAGAAGTGACTATCAGTAAAGTTATTTACTTGCATTACCGTTACCACGTTATAATGAACTTAAAACCTACTTAGAACCTTAAACTCTAACCTACAAAGTGCAGCAATATTTTATCTTGTAAGGAATTTCATGTGCCGTCGGATTGAAAATAGAAAACCTTCGCCCACGTTCATCAAAAGCTGCCAGAAACCACAAGATATAAGACAAATTAAGAACACAACAACTGTTTCTCATTACTAAGCATAAAAAATAAAAATTCTAGTCCAGCAAAACATCAGGCAGGAGACCTCAGGCGTAGTTTCCACTCTGGTGCGCAGGCGCAGGTCCGGACAATCAAAACAATTGGCTATAAACTTGTTTCCGCTGATCAATTATGTTTTTGTTCTATAAAAA